TTATGATAGAGGTGGTTCTTTTGCTTTTTTGTTAGTACATACACGTAAATGTTCCAAGTATGAAGAGCCCAGCATTGACCCACGCAGAAAAATAAAACACCAATGCACTATATATATACATGATGCTTGGGCCCCACATGTCATTCTAACATGACTAAATTGTTTAAATACTGAAAAATCAAGAACATGAACACAAGGTTTTCTCTTTTTAATCGGTAGTCAAAACTTGTAACTAGTCTTTCTCCCTCGTACTAACTTCAAATGTGATGATTTTTTTTCTAAAATTTTCTAAAATTATGCTTTATCAAATTATTGTATTCTTACTGCTATTATTTTGACAGTCTTTTAAAGTGACTTCGTTTGAACAATTCAAATTTTGAATTTTGAGAAATGACAGCTACAAACAAGATTTTAATATACTAAATGATTTCAGCTAAAAAAGTCATGAATACAAAAATTGTAGAATTCATCAAGATCTACAACTTTTATATTGGTCATTTCTTCATCCAGCAAAGTGTTAGTACACATTGTTCACAAATTTATAAATCTCTCACATAGTTTATGAAACTATACTAGAGATATGTCAATTTGTGAACAATGTGTACTAGCACTTTATCGGATGATGAAATGATCAAAATAAAAGTTATAGATCGTGATGAGTACTATAACTTTTTATTTTCATGAATTTTTGAGTTCAAATCATTTGGTGTCTCGAAATTTTGTTTGTAGTTGTCATTTTTTGAAATTCAAATTTTGAATTATTCAAATTTAGTCACATGAAAATATAACTAAAATAAAAGTTGTAGATCTTAATGAGTTTAAAACTTTTATGTTCTTGATTTTTTAGTTGAAATCATATGCTCTTTCAATATGTTGTTTCAAGTTTTCGCATTTTTGAAATTCAAAATTTGAATTTTTTAAACAAAGTCACATGACACGATGACCAAAGTAAATTGATAAAGCATATTTTTATAAATTTTTTGGAAAAAATCATCATATTTGGAGTTAGTATGAGGGAGTAAGACTAGTTACAAGTTTCTCCCTCGTACTAACTCCAAATGTGATGATTTTTTTCCTAAAATTTTATAAAATTATGCTCTATCAAGTTATTGTTTTGTTACTGCTATTATTTTGGTAGTCTTTTAATGTGATTTCGTTTGAACAATTCAAATTTTAAATTTTGAGAAATGACAACTTCAAACTAGATTTTGATATACTAAATGATTTCAACTGAAAAAGTTCTCTCTCACAACTAAAAAGACTAAAGAGGAGACACCGTTTTGGTGTGATAAAAAAATTCACCTCACCTTCGTGCCCTCCCCATGCGATCGTCTCCTCGCTTTGTCGATACAACCGGTCATGGCAGGTAGGACCTTCCGCAATCGACATCCTCCCCGCATGCGACGTCAGTAGGAAACTCGCTCGCTCGTGTGTGCTCCCCTTTGCGAGATCCAGCTCGCTCCCCCATGCGGCCGCGTCGTCATCCTCGCCGTGCGCGCCTGCTCCGTCGACTCATGCAACCCGCGACGACCGCGACTGGATCCATCGACCATTCCTTCCTGTCACGACCACGCTCTCCGGCAGCCGCTCCTCCTCTCTGGTGGCAGCTTCTCTCCGCGACGAGCACCCTCCCCTCTGGCGGCGGCTCCTCCCTTCGCATTGAACGCGACATGTGGCAGCCACTCCTCTCTCCGGCGGTGGCCCTGGCACGTGCGATCTCCGGCGTGGCAACCCCATCACGGGTGGCCTCCCGACGTGGCGGCAGCTCAGATCCACGGGGCGGGGCGCAGATCATCGAGGAGACGAGGCCCTAGCTCCCTCTCTTCCTCTTCTCTCACTCTTCCTCGTAGGCCGAAGTGTAGGGTGGAGACGCGGTGGTGGCATCAGTTTTAACTAGGTTGGGGCTTGGGATGTGCATGGAGGCAGTCAACAGCGAGGTCCCTGGCGGCCTCCATGGAGGATGTGCTGGTCGCCTGGCCATGTACAAGGAACGGATGCGTCAGTGCACTGCTCCCTCTCTGTTTCCAACTGCCTCTTGTCAGTTGGCATATGTTGAGTGGAAAGCTCTCGGATGCTTGGCAAGGCATCCATCCATCAATGAAGGTAAGGCATTGGCATTGGCACATATTCCTCTCAACTTCAGCAGAAGATATGAATATGATGCCTACGGGAAGATATTCCTCTCAACTGACAGCAAACACCACACCTGCAGCTCTTCTTTAATTCGTGGTCTTCATGGCAGATCTTATTATTAACCTTTCAGTTGAGTAGATCCAGTAAGGTATAATGATCACAACACTACCAAGAAGTATGATACTTTCCTTGTTTTGCATCCATATTAGATGCAGGTCGTGCGTAGCTTGTTATTAAGCATTAAGCAGTGCAGATAATTCTCACAAGACTACTAACCTATGGTAACCATAGCAGCTAGCTCAAGTAAAGCTCACCTGTGTTATGCATTGTGCTGCTATAGTGACAAGGAAACCTGTGAATTAGGTCTTTATTCACATGTTTGATGCTACTAGATAGAAAAAGATCAACATTCAGAATAACACACTGAAGTCATTGCCTGAAATAAATTAACATTCAGATCAGCAAAACCATTGCAATTCTCAGTAATTTAGATTACCAACAAAATGTTGCAACCCTTTAACCACGGTGGCATGATTGGTTATGTTTTACTAAATCTTGGATTTCATGAATTTTCATTAATTTCACAGATTTCGACATTTCGATCTGCCAGCTGACGAGTTCCCATTCAAATTCTCCTACTAGAGCCACCGGTAACCCCTCATCTCGTGCAGGTACTATGGAATTTTCCCTTTTGCCTAATTATCAAATTAGTCTGGATATAAATGATTCACTGTTTTTTTGCTACTCTACGAAATATCCAATTGAATCCTTGTGCTTGAACTAGATATGCACATGATCTAAATTCATGCCATGTCAAGTGTATATTCATATATCGCTAAGTAGTGTAGGATTGAGTGTACAGTGCTGTGTTTTTAGGCAATTTTCTTGTAGTACTTCAAAAGCTCCTTTATACTGCGGGAATCGAAGGACCGGATGTTTGCATGTAATTGGGTTAGTTTAGGAAGGAGGGATGGAGAGGAAAATTTACCACTAGCACTTGTGGTAGGTTCTCTTACATGGCTCATTATATTCTAACTTTGCTAGGATATGATTTTTTATATTGTTCTTGATGCATTCAAGTATAACTAAAAGCTATTGGTTGCTTAGGAGATACTCCTTTTATCCGATTGCCATGGAGTGAATAAATTTGCCACCTGAAAAAACTATTGTTACCAACCAGGCAAAGTATTGTTTGTCCCTAGGCAAAGAAATGTATAGTGTTTCATTTTAACAAAAAGAAAAATACTAGACATGTTGTATAGTTTTCAGTTAAAGGAAATTTACTATTTTCAGTCAAGCAGGTGGAGAGCGTGCGCAATCGGAGGGCTGGGTGCTTTGTTAATCTTCTCTAGATACATTGCTTTCCCTTAGGCTGTGCATGCTTCCTTCACCAGGTCTTAGCCAGATCAAGGACGGCCGGGAGGTCACCAAGTATCTCATTAACTAATAAAATGTGTGCGCAGCTACAAGCCTACAACTCCTCATCTACAGGTCAGTTTACTCTTGCATATCCTAGATATTGGACGATATGTCTCTTTTTGGTGTGTTAGTATACTTTGCTTGGACTCAGTTTTGCATGTTCCCAATGTGCTACTTAATGGTCCTCATCCACAGTTAATGATGGTTCTAGATTGATTCAACTAGGTTAGGCATTTGGTGTGGGATAAGTAGATAGTTCATGTTTTTTTTAAAACAAAAGAAATTGGCTTTGGCTGCTTATAACTTTTGGAGCAATATGATTAGTAATCGATTAGCAATGGCCAACATATATGGTGTTTTGGTAGGCACTTCATTCATTTGGCCGTCGTAATATAGGATGTTGCTCTCTACTCTTCGTTGTCAGGTTCCTGATTAGGGCCATCTTCTTATGAAAAGAGTCAAGGCCATCTACTTATGAAAAGAGTCAATAGACTCTAAAAAAATCAAGATCATTATACCCCATTATACCCTACAATTATTAGTCATAGCTGCAGTCATTAACAGCAATAGGATGGGTTGATGTATATGCCTTGGTTAAGTGTTGCTACTGATAAGGGATGTACAAGAGTTGGGTTGATGTACATTGCCTGCAATAGGAATTTACACCAAATACACATTGAGTTTTTTCAGTCCATTTGTATGTTTGGTAGACTGACAGCACCACGACATTGCTTTCATATGCATGTTGTTTTTTTGGCCCGAGTAACAGAATGCTATTGTCACCCATTCTGACATATCAGCAGCTAGGGCATCATCAAGGCAAACACTAGAGGCCTTATCCAGCGAGGTGCATCTAACAGTGTCACTTCACCTTCTGCACCTTAGGTATTCTCCTCAACCTTGCTCACTGTCTCCAACGGTTACCCAAAATACAAGACACATTCTATGTTTGGGTAGCGCTATAGGCAAAAGGTTTAATACCCATTTTCGGTTTTCTCCAACAACAAGATCTAAAAGAGAACCCTTTCTGTAAATGGGTCTCTATGAGAGAGAATACTCAGATTTATGTTATATCTCTCCTGACACCTAAAATGGGTCTTCTATATAGGCACTCTATTGGAGGCTATAGGTATTCTGTTGGAGACCTATTTTGGGTTTGGGTCTCTTGAGACAGGCTTATGATTTTGTATAAAGACCTGCCAGCTATTGTGTCAACCAAATATCTAATCCTGTTTTGATTGCGCTAGGAAAAAAGTCCAAAAAGAATTGCACGATAGGACTTTTGGAGACCCATTGCCGTGTGAATGATTAAGCGTTGATTACCTTTTTTGTCTCTTGGATTTTTCCCTTGATCTGTAGTTTTGTGTGCCTTGATTTTTCGATTGCTTCCATGACGGAATTGTAGCTTTCTGATGAAGTGGGCGTTGGCCAAACACGCTGCGTGAAAAATGGTGTGTTCCTAAATTCAGTTTGAGTGGTGCACTGCACTTTATAGAAGTTTTCAGGGGGACATTTCTAAGCAAGCTGATGGAAGTGAGCTGTATTTTGTTTTCAGGGTGACTACATATATTGTCTTCAAATTTGTAGACTGGATAGCTCTTGGATAGTTAGATCTTGGTCCAATTAATGAATTATATTAAGGTGCTTCATCGGACTGCTATATCATCGTCTTTTTTTTAGGAATGAGATGTTCAGTGTTCACGTCGAGCTTTGAGGACGGTGTACAAGCTCGGCAAGGGCGGTCCTGGCATCGCGCGGGTGGATCCTTAAGGTATGAAAAATAAGGAAAATATTATACAGAGAATTTTTCAGCCTTAGATATTAACTGATATCAACAACACAATACTTAGATATCAACTGATATCAACAGCAGGAACGAAACGTAACGTGGATCCTTAAGGTGTGAAAAATAAGGAAAATATTATACAGAGAATTTTTCAGCCTTAGATATTAACTGATATCAACAGCACAATACTTAGATATCAACTGATATCAACAGTAGGAACGAAACGTCAATTCCTTTTGAGTTGAGCTGTACGCTCTGAGCATCAACATAACCCCTTTTTCTAACACTGTTTGGATGCTAAGCAGATTCTACTAGAATATCATTTTTGAATGTTGGGATTATAAATCATGTACTGCATATTAGCATATTTTTTAGTGCTACTTGTGTACAAAAGTATAGAAGTAAAATACTCTCATTCAGTATCTATCTATTTTGGTTGTGCAGGTGCTCTTCCTATCCGTGTACTGGGTCATTGGCTTCTATAGTTGCACATTTCAGAAGGTGTAGAACACTTCAATGTAGTACAGTTCAGTTTATTCAGTCAGCACGAGAGGATGGGTTATCTACTCAATACTTCAGTAGTTAGAATATTATCCATGAAATCTGCTGACACACTTGTTTTTGTTAGTGTTTTATCGGCATACCATCTGTAGTTGAAGATGAAGGAAAGAGAGGCACCATCAATGCGTTATGGGCTCTGTGAACTGTTCAACCTGGCCAAAGAGGCGTCGAAACTCATGATCATCTGGTGTCCAACGAGAAGGTTCTACCTTGGATGATGAGCAGTACGTTTAGGGTCCGCTCGTAACTGAGAGAGGCTGGCAGTAGTTTTTATAGAGAAGTCATTGCTCCTCAACTAAACGCACCCAAAAGCAGGGCTGATGGAGAACATGCTAAAAGCTGCTTTTGGTTATACAATATAGAAGACATCAATCTCAATAAATCTGATTTTTTGTTTTATTTTTTTATATAAATTTTCACCTTTTGTTTCAGTATATGTTTAAAGTAACATATATTTATACGGTGAGTATAACATGCTTTATTTTAAGGTTTTGTGAGAGATTTTTTAAGACACGTAGTATTACCCATGTGACAGGCACTAATATTTACATATATACCCGAACATGTGTATATGATGACATGGAGTTCGTGGATTTATTGGCTCACGAAAGAAACAGATATCAGAGATTTCTTCCTGTCAATATAAAACATTATCGTAGCCGCATCACGGAAAGATCTATACAATAGAGTTTGCTAGCATGCGACGCCACGCTCTCCTTAACTGTGTTAACTTTACAAACTTTGCTTCTTGATTAAATATCACTTTAATGTCTGTATTTAATTTCACACTATTGTTATTTTATCGTGCGATCTATGTGTTTTTAGTATAAAAGTTTAGTTGTTCCGTAATAACGCACGTGCATGCTACCTAGTAAATATAAAAGTTGTAGAACTCACCAAGATCTACAACTTTTATATCGATCATTTCTTCATCCGATAAAGTGGTAGCACACATTATTCATAAAATTCCTAAATCTCTCATAGTTTGTGAAACTATTTGGGAGATATATCAATCTGTGAACATGTATACTACCACTTTGCCGTATGGAGAAATGATCAAAATAAAAGTTATAGATCTCGATGTATTCAACAATTGATAATTTTTTTATTTCAAATTATTTAGTACCTTAAAATTATATTGAAAGTTCTAATATTTTGAAATTCAAATTCAAACTACTCAAACAAAGTTATATGGAAAAATGACCAAAACAAAAGTGATAGATCTCGATGCGCTATACAATTTTGTTGTTGGACAATGTTTCGATTTGAAATCATCTGCAGCCGTAAAATTGTGTTTCAATTTCTCATATTTTAAAATTTAAATTTTAAATTGTTCGAACAAATTTAGATGGATAAAAGACCAAAATAAAAGTAGTTGGTCTCGAACTTTGCCGTGGATAAAATTTTCATTGAAATCATTTACTATCCCCAGCGCCTGTGCGTCCCCAGCGGCGGTGCCCACGAGCTCCCCAGGCAGCGGCGCCCGAGAGGACCCCTGTCGCCGGCTCCTACGCGGCCTCCTGCCGGCGGCCCCTGGCCTGGCGGTAGCGCCTGCGCCCCCACCCCTCTCCCCCGCGGCAGCGCCTGCGCGGATCTGCGCGGCCACTCGGTGGTGGCGCCTGCGAGGCTCCCTGGCGGCGGCGCCCGCGCGGCCCCTCGACTGCCGGCGCCCGCGAGGCCCCGGGTGAGCCCCTCGACGACGACGGTGCTGCAGGCCGAGGTGCTGCGCCGGGCCGCCTCCACTAGGTCGCAGTTTGCAGCTTTTTTTATTACACTCGAATCAATTATTAATGGCTGTCCATCTGAGGGCATACATCCAGTCCCCAGTTTTTTTTAACCTGTATGTAGGTAGCTTTAGGCAGATTGCAAAGTTTTCAACTGCAGCATTGCTGCTCTTCTAGATCCAATTGCCACTTGCATTTTCCTGTCACCCAAATTCAGACCGGCTCTCGATATGTTGACAGGTAAGCAGCTTACCAGCAAGTTCTTCATTTTTTGGGTTACTGAACCTTGAGAGCAGCAGCCTAGTATGCACATTAAATTGTCCTACCATGATACATTAGCTCATCCTTGAATATTACTCATGTTCATGCTCTTCGGTAATTGCTTATTCAACACATGTTAGCTTTTTAGTCTAGCATGTTCCCAATTCAGGTTCTAATTCTAAACTCAGGTTCCTAATTTGGCTAATGACCAACATGAAAATATCCGGCATGTTCTCTCACGAATGAAAATATTCTGCGCTCTTGTGTGATATGTCATGCTTTATCTCAGTTGGACGGGGTGCATTCATGTGTTGTTTTTCCTTTGCCAATTGACAGCAGTAGCTGCTCCTGTTGACATTGATCTCTATTTTGTTCTGCAGCTTGTTAGTCTAGAAGCAGTCACCTTTGATCTTCACATTAGTTGGTCGGCAGCAGAGGGACAACAACTTGACATTGCTTTTTGGTAAGCCACTAGCTTTCCTATTCTTTGCATGTTGACAGGAGCTGCAGCTCACTTCAGTTTCAGTTTCAGCAATTTATTTAGTCAAATAAATCTTGCTCTGTTCGGCAGCTTGTGAATTGAAGTAGCCACAGTTCATCACCTTGTCATGCTTTTATTATTTGGTTTTAATGTTGCTGATTTGGTATACTCATAACCGAAATATGTGACATCTGCCATTTTCTTACTACCTGATACTTTTCTTTATTTTTGAACTGCTCTTTAACTCTTATCTTATCCACACTGAAGCGTAGTGTTCTTGTAATCTTGTGCATTGCTTTATCCACTACAGAAGGTTTATTATTCTATTAAATTGCCATGTGCTAGAATTAATTCTTTTTTTAGAGGTGTGCTAGAATTAATTCTGGTGTGTACTAGCACTGCCTAGCTGCCTTGCTGGTGATTTAATAGAACAGTTTATTCTATTATGGATATGGTGCACCTTACAGGCTTGCAGCACAAAGAAAATGGTGTAGCACACTTGTAGCATCAGGCCTCCTATACTATGCATCATAGTACACCTTCAGCACAAATATTTCATTGAGGTTAATACCATGGTGTTCTCTTCTACAGAGGCATCTACTTGTAGCACAAAAATTCTACCTGTGATGTGTTGCTCCTCATATACTGCTGTCAATTGTTCTCTGAAATTGCACTATCTGTTTCTCCCCGTGATGATTTATGTTAAGTTACACTTGGGTAGCAGCAACATTAGAGCTCCTTTTCATTTATGTTTCCCTGTGTTTTATCTTGACTTATTCATGTTTCCCTGTCTTTGATGCAGTAGTAATGGGAACATAGTTCTATATCTGCCCAGCCACCTGGCTCCAGTATGCATCTGATCCGGGGAGTGTTCGGCTGGCTGTAAAGCCGCTGGTGCTGATTTGTATCGCTGATTTTTTGAGAGAGAAAAATACTGTATCATGGCTTATAAGCCAGCGAATAAGTTGTCTGATAAGACCAGCCGAACACTCCCAGTTGAATTATTATTACTGCTGCTGCCCTTAAATTTTATATAATCCTATAATTGTTGGGCTCTCAAAAATATGTGCATTGAACCAGTTAACTAGTTTCAAAGCTTCTTGATAAATAGACGGCATTTCTTCTTAGAATCCATGCAGAATCCATGCTCAAAACTGACTTGTCTCAATTTCGTTCATATTAATTTTCAGGTAGCACCTTATCGACAGCAAGTCAATTGAAGTGCTAGTTGGGTACTAACGTTTGTTTATTTAGACTCCCTGAAGATGAAATCTATATGTTCAAACTTAGTTGTTGTGAGTTTAGTTGTAAAATGACTATCCTCAAACAAATGGTTGTGAGCTAGGTCAATTTGTAGTTTGATGATCAATGTGAATGTTGTGAACATGCTAATACATGAATGAATCAATGTTTCTTTATACGATTGGTGTATCTTATGAGCTGTGATGCATGGTAATGCAGTGACAATGTGGCACTAACTTGTGATGTTCTTTTTCGTCACTATCGTTTGGATCTGGGCTTGGATATGGGTTGGTTATATGAGATCGACACCTATTCCATGACGACCAAAGACGTCACCACCTTGGACCTGGGCTTTGGATATGGGCTGGTTATATGAGATGGACACCTATTCATGACGACCACAAACGTCACTACACGCTGTAGTCGTTTCTTGCAAACCTGTCGAACATCTATTCCATGACGATCACAGTCGTCACCGATCTATCGATTTCTGTGACGGTTTTTAGCATTTTTTGGATTATGACGCGGATTTTATGAGTCTCGGAGACCCTCATAGATAGCAACCTATGATGATTTTTGGGGTGTTTGTGACCAAATGAAACCGTCATGTATCAACGCAATCCTTGTAGTGTTAGCTAATTCACCAGGTTAAATGGTGTCAATTCAGTCGTAACTGTTAGGGCAATGCTAAGGTACAAACTTTACCTCTAAGGAGGTAATATCTCAAATCAATTTGAGCCATTGATTTTTCACATTTTATGAATTACTTAATAAAATAAAAAAATCCTGGAAAACAAAAATAAGACCTCCGCATCCCCCTGATGACGGATTGACGGGAGGGAAATTCCTTTAGGGCTACTTTGGAAGCAGGTGGAGCCTATCCCAGGGAAGGAAAGCATTCGGGAGGATTTTGATGGCAATTCGTTTCCCTGGGCAGCCTTCCCTAGCAGGGTGTCAATTCTCTGTGGCTGTTTGGCAACAAGGGCAGAAATCCCAGGTAGTAAAGATGGTCTCCAAAATTAGAAAGAAGGGAAAAAATCAAGACGCACCCTCTTCCTCCTGAACACGTTGTCCGCCTGTCCGGTAGACGTGCAGCGCTGGAGACTCGCCCAAACAGCCGGGGCCACCGACGCCCTACCGTGCAGCGCGCCGAGGATCTGGAGCACGTCGAGGACGCGGTCCCGGAGGTCACCGAGGCGCACCTCCACCGTGGGCGAGCCCCTTCACGTTCTCCCTCCACTCGGCCTCCACGCCATCGTAGGCCTTCCAGAGCTGGCTCCGTTCGTATCCCACAGGTCTGAACCTCTCCACAACGTCCTCCACGACGAAGTCGCCCTGCCTGATCCTGACGAAGACCGGCAAGAGCGCACTGCACTCCGGGAAGACCTGGATCTCCTCGACGGCGTAGGGGTTGGCCAGTGACACCGCCGTGACCACGACCACGCCCGCGTGGCCGTGAGCGCCCATGCGTCGCCGCACCGGCGCCGGTCCGACGCAATGCAGGGCACGC